CAGAGGGATGTGCTGGAACAGCAAACTGCAGTCAACGGGAGCTGCGATTGGCCGAACCTGCGGTCGCTGCAGGTAAACAAACCGTCCCGGCCCGCCAGAGGATTTTCCTGATGGGCCGTGTGCTAAAGGTTGCCAATCCCTGATCTAGACCAAACAAACAGCCATGTTACCAAACTGTTAGAACCCTAGTCTTTTTATGCCATGCGTACACTTGGAATTAAAAAAAAAAATTCTCACCATTGATAACTCTAAACTAGAGAAGGCTCCAGCAGCTCCTGACATTTTTACCACTGTGTCTATACCTTTACTGCACTAGAGATGTCACTGATGTGAATTTTTTTCTCTAAAAATCTCAATTGTATGCATGGCCATAAAAAGATAAATGTGATAACATAATTTGATAAAATAGTAATACATGGTTTAGTCTCATCTACACAGGCAACTCCAAAACATTAGGGAACTACCACATTCCTAAACTGAGAGAATTTGTAATGTGGATTTGCCTTTAATATGTGAATAGTGTCATAGGCATAACATTCTATATTTGGTTCAGAATGTCTTTTCATTATAACCCCCTGTTTTCATTCACTTGCTACTTTCCCAGAAAGTTAGTTCTGAGTCTAACATATTCTCAGTCCAAGATTATCTTAGCTTTTGAAAGTCAGAAGGAATTTTATTCATCGGGTTTAAAGTTATTCACCCATATGAGTGTTTTCACTAGCAGATGCACTTCTAATGTGCTCTTTAAAAATGTTTTTACTTCATCAGATAACTAATAGCTGTGCATTAAAAACTTCAGCATTGCAGTATTGGTTAAAGATAACTATTTTTTGCTTTAGACGATTTCAAACAGAAATTTAACCTTATATTGTTGTGACAAAGGCAAGAACATCACCAATCACAAGCACTAAATAGTTTTTTGTAAAGCCTTGTCTACTGTAGAAAGCTATACTGGCAAAGATTTCTAGAGGAGACTCAGCTTGTAACAACAAAAGAGTTGTTTTGCTATGCCCTCAAAATTACATAAAATAAATGACTAAAACCTTTTCTTTGACAGTATAAACTGCATCTATACTAGGGCTTTTGCTAGCATAGCTATGTCAGTTAGAAGTGTGATTTCTTTCACACTCCTAACCAACTATGCCAGCAAAATTTTTAAGTGTAGACCAGCCCTAAATCAATAGCCTAACGTGCACCATCTAAGAAAAACGTATTGCATACTACTGCTCTTAATTTAACTCAGATTAGGAAGTACATAAAATGTGTGTGTGCATATATATACACACATACCTTCTTTGTATGCATATGTGTATGTGCATACACACACACGTGCATACACACAAGTACATGTGAAGGCTCTCCTTGTCTGCCCTCCATCTGTGATTTGCAACTTCAATTTTTTCAATAAGTAAAGCAGTAAGAGAATCATCGGGGGGAAAAATTCCCCCACACCCTGCAGTGCCAGTTTACTGAGCCTAGATATTCTGTATTTCGAATAAACTGCAATACTTATCTGCTCACACTAAGGGCTTGTCTTCATTAAAAAACTTGTGTATCATTTAACAGGGTTGAGTGTCAGTTAGATGACACAGTCCTGACCATAATTTGCTCTGGTCTACATTGAGTGTAATGTCATAATCCACATTGTGTCAGCTAATTGAACTCTTTACTGTCATTTTAAACACAGTTAATTTTTTGTAACGTACATCTTCTCTGAGCTTGTTTAAAATAACACATCAACTTGACGTGGTGTTGTGGCAATTTTGGTGCCAAAATATTAAGAGAGACAAGGTGGGTGAGACAGTATCTTTTCTTGGACCAGCTTCTGTTGGTGAGACTTTCAAGAAAAGCTCTGTGTAAGTTTGTAAGCTTGTCTCTCTCACCAACAGAAGCTGATCCCATAAGAGATATTACCTCATCCACCTTGTCTCTCTAACATCAACTTGACATCTAGTCACTTTTAAAAAGTTAAAGACTACATTTATGCCTAAATTACACTAGTTTTTATAACATTTTCCTATTTTCAAAAATATTTTTCTATTCCTTATTACATGAAAGACCCACACAAACAAGAGGGGAACTTGCCTAGTCAGGGCAACAGACTCTTTATTGGTGGACTCCTGAACCCATGTACAGTCAGTTGCAAGGTCGGAAATAGCTGATATTTCACAGGAGGAAACTGTGGAACCAATTGTACAAAGTGCAGTCAAATGCACACTGAAACTGAGAGACCTGCCCCCTCTAATTTCACAGAATCATAGAACCGGAAGGGACCTTGAGAGGTCATCTAGTCCTGTCCCCTGCACTCAAGGCTGGACTAAGTATTATCTAGACCAGAGGTGGCCAACTATGGCCTGCAGGACTGGCCTGCCGAGCCCCTGAGCTCCCGGCTGAGGAGGCTAGCCCCCGGCCCCTCCCCCACAGCGATGCCACCATGCCACCAGCGCTCTGGCCTGCTGCTCCTGCTGGGCAGCGCAGGTGGCATGGCTGGCTCCGGCAGGGCTACAAGCTCCTGCTGCTCTGAGCAGGATGGTAAGGGGGCGGGGGGGGCGTTGGATAAGGGGCAAAAGGTCCCGGGGGGAAGTTGGGACAGGGAACAGTTGGATAGGTGTGGGAGTCCCCGGGGCGGGGGGACTGTCAGGGGGCAGGGGTGTGGACGGGGGTTGGGGCAGTCAGGGGACAGGGAGGGTTGGATAGGGGGCGGAGTCCCAGGGGGCAGATAGGGGGTCCCAGGAGGGGGTGGTCAGGGGACAAGGAGCAGGGGTCAGATGGGTCAGGGGTTCTGGGGGGGGTCAGTCAGGGGACAGGGAAGTGGGAGGGGATGGATAGGGGGCAGGGGTCAGGCTGTTTGGGGAGGCACATCTGTCCCTACCCAGCCCTCCATACAGTTTCGCAAACCTGATGTAGCCCTCAAGGCAAAAAGATTGCTCTCCTCTGATCTAGACCATCCCTGACAGGTATTTGTCCAACCTGCTCTTAAAAATCCCCAGTGATGGAGATTTCACAGCCTCCCTAGGCAATTTATTCCAGTGCTTAACCTCCGAGGTCAGAACAAGAAGCAATGGGCTTAAATTGCAGCAAGGGCGGTTTAGGTTGGACCTGAGGAAAAACTTCCTGTCAGGGTGGTTAAGAAGAACAATTTTTCTCCCTCTTCCTTATAACAACCTTTTATGTACTTGAAAACTGTTATCATGTGCCCTCTCAGTCTTCTCTTCTCCAGACCAAACAAACCCAGTTTTTTCAATCTTCCATCACGGGTCATGTTCTCTAGACCTTTAATAATTTTTATTGATCTTCTCTGGACTTTCTTCAATTTGTCCACATCTTTCCTGAAATGTGGCGCCCAGAACTGGACAAAATACTTCAGCTGAGGCCTAATCAGTGTGGAGTAGAGTGGAAGAATTACTTCTTGTGGCTTGCTTACAATACTCCTGCTAATACATCCCAGAATGATGTTTGCTTTTTTTGCAACAGCGTTACACTGTTGACTCATATTTAGCTTGTGATCCACTAGGACCCCCAGATCCCTTTCAACAGTACTCCTTCCTAGGCAGTCATTTCCCATTTCGTATGTGTGGCAACTGACTGTTCCTTCCTAAGTGGAGTACTTTGCATTTTTCCTTATTAAATTTCATCTTATTTACTTCAGACCATTTCTCCAGTTTGTCCAGATCATTTTGAATTTTAAATCCTATCCTCCAAAGCACTTGCAACCCCTCCCAGCTTGGTATCATCTGCAAACTTTATAAGTATACTATGACACTATCTAAATCATGATGAAGATATTGATCAGAACCAGACCCAGAATCAATCCCTGCGGGACCCCACTCCTTAGGCCCTTCCATCATGACTGTGAACCACTGATAACTACTCTCTGGGAACAATTTTCCAACCAGTTATGCACCCACCTTACAGTAGCTCCATCTAGGTTGTATTTTACTAGTTTGTTTATGAGACGGTCATGCGAGACAGTATAAAAAGCCTTACTAAAATCAAGATATACCACATCTACCACTTCCCCACTATCCACAATGCTTGTTACCCTATCAAAGAAAGCTATCAGGTTAGTTTGACATGATTTGTTCTTGACAAATCCATGCTCACTGTTATTTATCACCTTATTATCTTCTAGGTGTTTGCAAATTGATTACTTAATTATTTGTTCCATTATCTTTCCGGGTACTGACGTTAAGCTGACTGGTCTGTAATTCCCCCGGGGTTGTCCTTATTTCCCTTTTTATAGATGGGCACTATATACATTTTCTGGAATCTCTCCTGTCTTCCATGACTTTTCAAAGATAATTGCTAATGGCTCAGATATCTCCTCAGTCAGCTCCTTGTCAACTCTGAACAACAGTAAGTTACTTTATTTGCAGAAAGAAGTGTGGGTTTTTTTTGTTTTTTGTAAGTTGAGAGTCCCTTTACATGAAGCTGAAATGTGGCTGCAAAAGTAGTCTATAACCAGCTTGTCTGGCATATATAGATCCAGGCTAAGCCATGGGTCACCCAGTGTTTTAAGATCACGTCAATACTAGAAGGGAGCTAGTTTTCCTAGCATAGGCGTTATTGTGATACAGATGGTGGGTAACACACAATTAACTTCAGTAAGAGGAAGGAGGGGGGGAGGGGGAAACGGAGAACTAGATTAGGACAATTAAAGCAAACTGCTCCGCTTTCAAAGCAGCATCTCTGCGGGGAGGAGAGAGGAGGCTGTTCCCACTGATGCTGGTGCTGCGAGGGGAACCACGGGTGACCGCGCACACAGAGAGTGAAACCCGGCTCCAGTGCCCACGGCAGGGACAAGACGCAGAGCGGAGCGGAAAGGCCCCCAAGCGGAGGCGCCGTCTCTAGACGCCCCAGAAGCTCCCGCCTGCCCGGGGGTGCCTGGAGGGGAGGGGGGGGTCTCCTGGGGGCCGGGGCTCGCGGCGCCTCCCCTCCCCCCCGGAACGCGGACACTACCCGAGCAACCGCCCCTCGGGCCAGGGGCTCCCGATACTTACACAGCCCGTTGGAGCCGGTGCTGGGGAACATGGTCCCGGGGTTGGAGGCGGGAGGAGAAGAAGGAGGGGGGGGCAGCGGCGACGACGGCGACCGGCCCAGCCCGCCGGGGAGTCTCCCGAGAAGCCCCAGAAGGTCGGAGCCAGCCCGAGGAGGCGGCTCGGCGGGTCCCGGGGACGAGCTGTAAGGCGGCCGGGATGGGCCAAACCGGGCCGTCCGTGAATCCCCGGCGCCCTCTTCCGGTCCCGCCGCCTCCCCGCAGGCCGCCTGAGGCGGAGAGGGCGGGAGCCGCCGTCGCTCCAGCTGCCGCCGATCTCGCCCTGCTCCCCGGCCCGCGCACTGGGGTTACGCTCCTGAATTGCCCCTGCCCTGGGGCAACTTCCCCGCCTTACTAACCGTTGGGTCTGTGACCTTCCCCTGCGCTGTGCGGACCCAACGCCCAGCCACTCCCCGAGGGGGACGAGTTCCCCGCTGCTGCCCCTGCCGTAGGTACCCTTGCTTTGAGCGGGGGGCGGCGGCTTTTAGAGGCTCCGGCAAGCTGGCTGTAACTGTACTTAATGTATTAGACAACAGAAGTGTGCACGGACGAAGGCCCCCTCCTGCAAAGGCTACACAGGTGCTTAACTTAATGCACTATGACTAGCCCTACTGAAGTCAAATTAAGTTCTCACAGGATCAGAGCCTGAAGTTGGAAAGATATTTACATATGGAATAGGCCTCTTTTAAACTTAAAAAGACAGTGGTTGGTAAGAGCCTAGTTTGTGGTACTTCAAAAGAGGAAGTAAATTGTTCATGGTGCCGCCCTGCTAACTTCATCCTTGGGCTTTTCATAAACGAAAAAATGAAGGATGCAATAATACCCTTTGTAATTTACCACATAATATAAAATTTGATTTTTAAAAATCAGTTCCCCATTCAAATGCCTATAATAAATAGAAAATACTTAATAAAACTACTTGCTTTATCACTTCAATAAATAAACAGTGGATAGTTGTCTGTAATTGCAAACATGCACATGCACATTTGAATGCTGGACTTTATGCGGTATGCCCAGATATCTTCCCTGTTTTAGTTTGCTGACAGCAAAGTAGAATTGTACAAAAGTCCTGTTCCCTGTCATCAAACACACTGAGTTATGTTCTGGTGTTCATGCTTCCCATTGTAATCAACAGATAAGTCAAATATTTCGCCTATCAGCCTTGATAGCCTTTTCATAGTATGGTAAGTAAGTGAGAAAAAGTGTTTCATAGTTAGCTTTGAAAAATGAGAGGACAAAGATGATAATACAGGCATAAGTAGAAATTTGTTGTTGTTGATAGAGGCTGACACACCAAGCCAGATCTGTTACTTCCTTAATGGACACAAATAATCTGGTGAAGTTGTTTGCTAAATAAACTGGAAAATGCTGTTGTCCTTATTTGTTTTGTTGCTGAATGTACTGGAACTAAGAAGTATATCTAAGAAATTGTTTGATTTCAGCAGAATTGTATTTTTACAGCTTAGTATCTTTGGTACAGGGGATTCTTTTTGATCCCCAAAGCAGACTAAATATAGCCCTAAACTGAATTAATTGCTGTTTCAACTATTTTTTTCAGTTCTTCTGATTTGCAATATAAAAATTGTAGCAATCTGCATGGAGCTTGGAAGGAGGAGTACAAGGTGCAGAACAAAAAAGTTTGGAGGAGGTACCAGGACTTCATTCTGTATGCACATGGCTGAAACATTAGCTGTGGTTGCAGCATCTCTGCAAATAGTTCTCTTAATATAGAGCCAGTTTCCTTTTACAAGCATGGAACTTTTTCTTGTCATTACCCAGCACATGGTACATGAAACAGGAGGGTTCATGAAGAATTACTTAACCTTTACATCTGCCTGAGAATTATGCAGATTAGTACTCACAGACCTGAAAAAATACAGAAAAAAATAGATTTTTGAAATTTTGAGATTATTTCACTGCACCCATAAAGGACCAGATTATTAATATATGGGTTTGGGCTTTCCATTATAATGCTTCATCCTTGATGCACATTCTACAAGAAAATATTTTCTTTAATTCTGTCATTCTCAAGATGAATCTTATTAAAATAATACAGTTAAAATTAACATTTGTAATTGTCTCATTTGAAGCTGAGGCAATTACAACACTGCAGACTTTTGTAACCAATTTCATTCAGACTTGGTATCACCAAAAAGCTGATATTTTTATGACACCAAGTTTGAATGAAGTTGCCAAGTGGTTGTGGAAATACTACTCGTGTTAGAATGGCCCTAGGTAATTATTTAACATAAAGAAGTTATTGTATCAGACTTTTCTACTGGTTACAGTCCACCATATTGCAATTTTCAGAGGTTGGAGAGTAAGTTAGGATATGTCTACTCTGCAAATAAAAACCGGCAGTTCATTGCAGTGTAGACTTCCAGGCTTGAGCTGTAGCCTGAGCTGTGAGCCCCTCCCACCTTGCATAGTCCTAAATCCTGGGCTCCAGCCTGAGCTGGGAAGTCTACACTGCAATTAAACATTCCCTTAGCCTGAGCCCTGCGAGCTTGAGTCAGCTGGCCTGGGTCAGCCATGGGTGTAGAGTGTAGATATATCCTTAGAGGTCTGAGAACAAGGCTTATGGTGTGATCAATGTACACATATGTATCCGACTGATGGAGATGGTAGAAAGGGAGCAAGAAAGTGTGGGTTTGTGTGTGCAATAAAAATGGAAACCTGTGTGTTAAATTAGCATGTCACTATACAGCACTGAGAATGGATCTCATCTGGTACAGCACAAAATACCCACTAATCAAAAACTTAAAATGTTTCAAGATAATATATTTTCAAATACTACCAAATTTAGAAATTTAGACCATAATATTAGATACATATCTTAAATTTTCCTATAAGATACTGAACTAGCTGTAAATAACTAAAGTTTGAAAGCAGTCATGGGAAGACTCTATAAAAAGTTAAAGACTGTGCATCTTATGCTGCCAAAATATTGTAAAATGGCCTTAATGAAAATGAGATTATAGCCTGAAATCTTCGCAATACCTGTATGGAATGGGGTAGAGAATACTACATTGCTGCACTAAATAAAAACATCTGTTTTTATTTCTGTCAAGGTTCCTCCCCCACTCTGAACTCTAGGGTACAGATGTGGGGACCTGCATGAAAAACCTCCTGAGCTTATCTTTACCAGCTTAGGTCAAAACTTCCCCAAGGTACAAAATATTCCACCCCTTGTCCTTGGACTGGCCGCTACCACCACCAAACTAATACTGGTTACTGGGGAAGAGCTGTTTGGACGCATCCTTCCCCCTAAAATACTTCCCAAAACCTTGCACCCCACTTCCTGGACAAGGTTTGGTAAAAAGCCTCACCAATTTGCCTAGGTGACTACAGACCCAGACCCTTGGATCTTAAGGGCAATGAACAATCCTCCCAACACTTGCACCCCCCCTTTCCTGGGAAATGTTGGGTAAAAAGCCTCACCAATTTGCATAGGTGACCACAGACCCAAACCCTTGGATCTGAGAACAATGAAAAAGCATTCAGTTTCTTACAAGAAGACTTTTAATAAAAATAGAAGTAAATAGAAATGAAGAAATCCCCCCTGTAAAATCAGGATGGTAGATATCTTACAGGATAATTAGATTCAAAAACATAGAGAACCCCTCTAGGCAAAACCTTAAGTTACAAAAAAGATACACAGACAGAAATAGTTATTCTATTCAGCACAATTCTTTTCTCAGCCATTTAAAGAAATCATAATCTAACACATACCTAGCTAGATTACTTACTAAAAGTTCTAAGGCTCCATTCCTGGTCTATCCCCGGCAGAAACCAGCATATAGACAGACACACAGACCCTTTGTTTCTCTCCCTCCTCCCAGCTTTTGAAAGTATCTTGTCTCCTCATTGGTCATTTTGGTCAGGTGCCAGCGAGGTTACCTTTAGCTTCTTAACCCTTTACAGGTGAGAGGAGCTTTCCCCTGGCCAGGAGGGATTTCAAAGGGGTTTACCCTTCCCTTTATATTTATGACAATTTCTCTGTAAGGAGTTGCAGTATGGAGAGACAAGAGAAACTCCAATTTGGGGCTTACAGTTCTGATAACAGAGACTTCAGGCTCAGTTTTGAAGGTTCCCCTAGACTGTTGCTCCTGCAAGGTAGGCATGTGGAGAGAAACTTTTCTTTCACGAGACAATTTTGATGTGTGGCAAATGATTCTTAACATTCAGTTCAGGAGTTGGATGGAAATCAATACAATTACGTCTCTGAAGGATTTAAGCCTGTGTTTTGTTGAACAGGAATGGACGTAAGCAAGTACTTAAGTGATTTGCTGATTGGGGCCTTATTTATTATAATCTACAAGCAAAGTGAAATAGCATTAGTAATGGTGCTGGCACATAATATACCAAACTCCTCCACAGTGGTCAATATTGCCACCTTAAAAGCTAGAGACTCCCCCAGGTGTCACAAGTTGCCTTTTGACCCATTTGCCATTATTTAAGGTTGTTGTGTAATTCTGTAAACATATTACTGAATCTTTAAAATATGTTATAGCACACTTGTATGAAAAATGTTTTATTTCTGAATTATTATGCCATCCTTTTTTTGGCTTTAGATCAGTAGATATAAGAAGCACATTTTGCTCAAGAGAAAACTACACACATATATGGTGTAAAATAACTCTGTGGAAGTTTCCTTACAGAAATATAGTGGATACTAAATTATTTCACCTGAAACTGGAAGAGGACTATCTTTTGAGGGCTATACTTATATAGTTAAAGCAGCACATTCCTCCTAGTTTCAGAGTAGCAGCCTTGTTAGTCTGTATTCGCAAAAAGAAAAGGAGTACTAGTGGCACCTCAAATAAATTGGTTAGTCTCTAAGGTGCCACTAGTAGTCCTCCTAGTGTGGCCAGAGTTATATTGGTATAAAGTATCAGAGGGGTGCCGTGTTAGTCTGTATCCACAAAAACAATGAGGAGTCCAGTGGCACCTTAAAGACTAACAGATTTATTTGGGCATAAGCTTTTGTGGGTAAAAAGCCCCACTTCTTCAGATGCATGGAGTGAAAATTACAGATGCAGGCATAAATATACTGACACATGAAGAGAAGGGAGTTACCTTACAAGTGGAGAACCAGTGTTAATAAGGCCAATTCAGTCAGGATGGATGTGGTCCACTCCCAATAATTGATGGGGACGTGTCAATACCAAGAGAGGGAAAATTACTTTTGTAGTGAGCCAGTCACTCCAAGTCCCTATTCAAGCCCAAATTAATGGGGTTAAATCTGCAAATGAATTTTAACTCCGCAGTTTCTCTTTGAAGTCTGTTTTGAAGTCTCTCCTCAGATCCTACGCTACCTAGCTATCTTCGAGACACCACCGACTTCCT